TTTCTTAATATTTTCAAAAAATATTCAACAACAAACATTATTAGTTATTTAAAACTTTACTCTCCGTTTTTATTTGTACAAGAAAAAAAATTGTATCACACATTTAAGAAAATTAAATTAACTATATTAATTATGTCAAAAAAATAAAAGAATTGGACTATAATACCTTTATTAATTGTATTAATTAAGCCTTCATTAATTTTCTGTTATATCTATAAATGATAAAATTATGAGAGGTAATTTAAAAAATTTACAATAAATGTCTATTGAAAAATGTGATTTTGCTTATATAAAAAAAATTAAAAAATGATAGTTTCTTTTATATATAGAAACAAAGGGAGTATTTAGGAGTGCAAATTGAGAGTCTTGGAGAGGTTTTTGAGTGCTAAGTAAGAGCTAAAGAAATTTTATAAATTATAAATCTAATCCTAATTTTTTGAGTTTATTCAAACTAGCTTGTTTAGCTTTGACTTAAATTACCAACTTTACTCAAAGACACGCAAGCCTTCATCTTCATGTTGCATAATGCAAAACCATCCGTCTCGCACTTTGATTACCATATTTTTGGATAAGTCAGCTATTGGCTAAAAAAAATCTCATAACCAAAAATTATGGACTAAATTTTGAAAATTTGATAGTATGATCGATTTATTTGATATATAGGATTTTATCATTAATATACAAGAGTTTATTATTAAAAATTAAAATTTTACAAGGGGTTTCTTATTGATATATAATGATATATCATTAACAAATGTAATAAATTAGCCACAATGTAAAATTTAATAATATTGAACTGTTTTTTTTTTTTGCTTCTATAACATGAATTATGTTTACAAAAGCCCCTATTCCTTATTGATTTTTTAATCATTAGAAACGAAATAATGAATTTGTTACATTGCAACGTAGTAGAATATATGGGAGAGATGAAGAATTGAAGATTCTATATGTGAAACTATTCCTACAAAACAATATTCAAATATTATCAAAATTTTAGACATTAGAATGATTCAATGCATTTAAATTTTTTTGTGCTTCTTTCAAGGACAATATTTTTTTTAAAAAAAATGAAGGGTATATATGTAATTTAGACCTTAAACTATAGGTTTACAAGCAATTTGATCCCTAAACTTATATTTTATATATTCTGAATCTTAAACAATTAAACTTGGAACAACTTCACCATCATTAAATTAAAAGAAATGTCCATAACTTTTTTTAAAAAATAGGGCTTGATGTTCAATTTTCTTCAAAGGAGAATGGAAAAGAAAGGGGGAGTGAAATTTGAAAAAAATTGTACATCAAGCTCCCTTTTTTTTTCTAAAAAAAAAAGTAACGAATGTTTCTTTTAATTTAATGGTAGAAGTGAAATTATTCTAAATTTAATTATTTAAGATTAAAATATACTAAATACAAGTTTAGAGTCCAAATCACTTCTAAACTTATAGCTTAGAATTCAAATTGTAAATTAATCCAAAATAATAATGGCTTATACATGTTCGGTCATTTAACTTACCTAATATTATGTTTTGATTTTCATCAAGTCCCCAGTCTAAGATGGGTTAAATAAACTCACATATTTAACCTAGAACCCACGGTGGTTTATCCCATCTAATTTGTCTAATTGAAATCATTAATGCTCTGATTGATTAAACTATATATGAAATAATATATTATGGAGAGGGTAGAGACTAGGGAGGGAGGAATTTAGTTAGTTCTCCTATTTAAATAAGTACTCCTTTTACTACTTTATACTCCATCCAGTTTAAAAATATAATACACTTTTTAAGGGGCTAAATGTTAAAAAATGTAAGGCATTTTTAATCATTTGAAGTGTAATTATTACTTTTTTTTCAAAAGTGCCGTTATTGATAATAATTTTATATTTATTGTAGGGTGTTTAATAGAAGTAAATATGAAAAGATAGAATTAGTTTGAAAGTAGGTAATTACTTTATCAAAGGGTGAAATTCGATTAAAAATACTTTATAGTTTTAAACAGGGAGAGTATAAAGTAAAATTTAATCAATTTCATGTTTATTTAAAAATATTAGTTATCTTTAGAATTGTAAAAAAAAAAAATATAACTTTTTAAGTTTATCTTTATTTACAATTAATAATCATAATAAATTACTGTTAGCAATTCAAACCATGCATGATAAAAAAAAATAAGGATAAAATTAGGAGAAAATACATGATTTGACAAAATAAAGAAGCTATAGAGCCACAAATAATTGTGGACTTCGAGAAACTAACCCCATAAACATGCTTCTCTCATACTTATCAAAAGTCACTTTCAAGTTAAATGCAACTTGAACATCATCAACTTGAGTGGCTTCTTCCGATTTGATCACATTTCTCTAAAGCTTGCCTTGTGTCTTTCTCATTCCATACTCTCAAGCTACTCAATATCCATACCCCACATAGAAGAAAAGCTTCACATTTGTTTCATACCATTTTTCTCACCATCCACCAACTTCTCTTCCCCTATAAATATACAAAACTTCTATTCACACAACTTAAAACCTATGACATACATTCATTGTCTTGTTTTCTTATATAACACCTTAAAAATGAGAAGAAATTTTCAATCTCTTCAATTATTCCTTTTCTCATTGTATCTCTTACTAGGTCTGTCCAAACCCGACCCTGACCCGCTTCAAGACTATTGCATTGCAGATACAAAAAAGCCCCAAGCCCTTTATCTCAATGGAGCTCCATGCATTGACCCAGAACTAGCCACTTCATCTCATTTTGCCACATCCTCTTTGTCCAAGCCTGGGAACACAAGCACTAGCCAATTCGGGTTTAATGTCATCCTCACCAACATTGCTAATCTTCCTGGGCTTAACACCTTAGGCCTGACCTTGGCTCGAGTTGACTTAGCAGCCAATGGAATCGTGCCACCTCACTCCCATCCACGAGCCTCGGAAGTGACCACTTGCCTCCAAGGCACACTCCTCGTGGGCTTTATTGACACATCAAATCGGGTTTTCACACAAAATCTAAAGGCTGGTGAGTCTTTTGTGTTTCCCAAGGGTTTGATTCATTTTCTATACAATGTTGATCCTAGAAAGCCTGCCTAGCTGTTTCTGGGCTTAATAGTCAAAACCCAGGTGCCCAAATAGCATCAATTGCTACGTTTGCCAGTAAACCAGGGGTTCCTGATGAAGTGTTGGAAAAGGCTTTCCAGATAAGTCGACGAGAAGTGGAAACAATCCGTGAAAAACTTGCAGGCTAATTAATTAAAAATATAATATTGTATCTGATTTATGTCTTATGATAATGCCCAAACACTATTATGTTTGTATTATTGATCCTAGCAATTGCGTGACTTGGGATCCAAATGAGAAGGTTTGGAATGTGATGGTTTATTGGCTTTATATTTAAAAAAAAATGGAAAGAGACATTTTAACGGTTATTTGTTTAATTAAACTATTAATGGCTTAATCCCATTCATATACTAAGGTCCCGTGAAGGAGTTCAGTATGTATGTTTGTCTTTTACCCCCACTTGAATCGACATGTAACAAATCTTAAACAATTGATCAATTAATTAATTGGATCAATTTTACTGTGAAATATTAAAATAGTTAAATTTAAATACATAATTAGATAATCAATTTTATTTTGACTGCTACACGATACACCCAAAGTGAACTGCATCCAAGTTAATTGCATGCAATTCATTTAGGTTGAATTACTCATAAATCTATTAATTAATTAAGTTAAAGTCCCAATTTGTAGTGAACGGATTCTCATCACAATTACACATGACTAATAAAAAAGATAATTATGCTATTCATTACCTAATTAATCAAAATGATTCATACACATCCCCTCCGATCTTTAATATAAGGAAAATTTAATCAATTTCATACTTATTAAAAAATGATAATTATATTCTTAAATTTGTTAAAAAACTATGTAACTTTTCAATTTTATTATTCTTTGTAATTAATAATCATAATAAATTATTGTCTAGGAATTCAAACTATAGTAAATAAATAAATAAGGAATAATAAAATTAAAAGAAAAAAATATTATTACTCTAATAAAAAAAATTTCAAAGTTATTCAAATATTAAAATGGAAAGGAGTAAAGCGAGAATAATAATTTGAGCCTCTTGTGACCATTCTCACTCCTATGTTTGTCATGAGATAGGCTGTTTCTCTCTCATTACCTCTCATTTCTTAATAAATGCATTATTGGGTCATTTATTAATTTAAGTTGTTGAATCTCTCAATTATTATAATTACTAATTCGTGATAATAAATCAGACTTTTACACTATATTATTGAATTTGGTAACTGTATTTAATACAGGAACTTAATTATTGAAATTTAAATTAATGATTTTAAGTTTACATTTCATTTAAAATAATTAAATAAATGAGTTTATCAAATTGATAATATAAATTTCAATGATATAAATAATTCAGATATTTAATATTTATAATCACCGAATCCAAATTTCATTATATAAAATATGAACTCAATTTCGTAAGCAAATAAAAGAAATTGGATTTGAATTGGCTTTTATAACGGCTAGGGGCTGGGGAAGTCAACTTTGGTAAACCGGGAGAGGTAGCCATTAATGACTTCTTATTGTACAGCTGTCCCACGTTTGTAGCACATTGGTCCAGCGTGTAACACGTCTTTACTTCTTTTTTTTAAAAAAAAAAATTCCTCAAGAGTTCTTTTCTAGGCATATTCGGGGACAACATATGAAAGAAAAATGCGTCACAATGACAATTGAAAATAAAATTTCATATATAAAGTCGTTGAATATTCCTTCCCTTGAAATGCTGATAAAATGAATTGAAATGCTAATTATCTCATTGACTTGAGCTAACTTTATAATAATAATAATAATAGTAATGAAAATAGATTGTCTAGGGTCATTAAAGTTATGTACATGAAGTTCATATCTAGTAATTATATTTTGGGATCCTCTATTTTTAGTTGTTATTTTATTAGATTAAATGATAAATAATCCTTAAATTATAGTGCCAAATGCGTCTAGAACCTTAAATTTATTTTTTGTATAGCATTTCTCTTCAATTTTTACAAGCAATGCAATATGACTCTAACCATTATTAAAAGTTAACTTTAACTTATAGTTAATAGACATGATAAAAAAGATCTAAAAAATTATAGAAAATAACAAAAAAAAATTAATTACAAAGACCTAAAAAATTATAGAAAATAATTAAAAAGATTTTATTTGTCTTTTTTTGGGTAATTTTGAGATTATTTTTTATCATTTCTAGCCAACTAATAGTTAAATTTAACTTTTGTTAATGATCTAAGTCATCTTGCACTCTTTTCAAAAGTTAAATTAAAATATTATTCTAAAAATAAATTTAAAATCTCATATATTTCTGAACTTATACTTTAACAGCTAATTTGCTCTCTTATCTTATTTTATTTTACTAAATTGTCAACAAACTTTGCAACATTTAATTATACTATAAGGGACTTATGTATAATTTATCTTTGTGTTTCAAATAAACAATATATAGATGAAAAAATCTACATTGGACTAACTGGTTCAATTAGAAAAATCAATAAACGGATACCTAATTAATCTATTATTAAAAGGAAAAATTAGGAACTAGTTTAAACCAATGTAAGATCAATTGAATCGGCTTAGATATTTAATTTGGTTTAATATTGGTTTGATTTTTCTATCATAATTCAATTATATTGAAGTGAGAAAGAGAATTGTAGGTCAAGATTACTAATTAAAAAGAAGATAAAGCTTTACACGTAGAACAAAGCCATTGATAAAAGCTCAATTTATGTGGGGTCCAACAAAACCACGTGAGGGAGAGGTTCCTCTAACCTAAAGGGAAAGTCCTGGAAGTAACTTCAATCTTCTTCATCCCCACCAGCGTTGCCACGTGGCAGTGTATATATTCTTTCCTTCGTCCTTTTCCACTTTAATTTAATCCTATCTTCCCTTGGAATCACAGAGAACCCATGAATTATATCACAACTCAATCATACTCTCCATCGGTGCCAACCAAACTCTCTTTTTTATTGTATTTTTAGTGTTGTATTAAAATTCAATTCAATTTCATTGATTCAATTAATAAATCATTAAATTAATGACCTGTCTGCTTTTATAAATATTTTGTTCAGTGTGAATATAATTCAACTACAATTTTAATTATTACTTAATTATTCAATCACTTCATTGACTTATTTAATAACAAATCTTTTTATTTTTTGAAAAAAAATACAACCATTAGTCCTTATATTTTTAGGATATTTAAGTATTCATCTTTATATTTTTTTCATTACTTCAAATCAAGTTTCATATGTACACTATATTAGTTCATAAATTTTTAAATATAACCCTAAGAACTTAGAGAAAATTAGTTCAATGGCTCTCATAAATTATGGATGGGATTATTAAATATTTTAAAATATGATTCATTCATAAAATTAATTAGATGTATTTTTCTTTTGTATTCTCAGAATAAATTTATAATTAAAATAGAATATATTTGATTTAACCAATCTTTAGCTGATTAGGTCTTTTATTTTTATCATCAAAAATCATATTATGTGTGCTCCCTCTCAAATTATCATCTCTGAATATTTTTTTATTATATTTTTGATCTAATTTTTCTAGATTATCATATTCATCTCTCGTACAGTGCTTTTCTTCATCAAAATTTTTGATCTAATTTTTCTGAATCACCGTCTTCATCGCAGAGCTTTTTCTCTCTCTCCCTCTCTGTTCTTCCCAGATATTACAAAGAGGATATTAGACATTGAAAAGGAAATTTTATTACTAATCTGTGATATTATATGACTGTATATTAATGATAAACAAATTGATAAGTTTTCACTCATGTAGCTTATATATTAGTGATATATAATAGTATATCACTAATATACTATCGTAGATCAACATAACCAGACAATCAAACATAAACTTGTTTATAATTGATATATAATCATATATTAATGATGTATTATCGTAGATCAGTAACACAAAAAAATATAATTATTTTCCCAAAACATATCAAACAAAATCTTAAAAAATCTTTGCTTGAACTCTGGCTTTTGTAACAGAGTTTAATCAGACTTTCTCACCTTGGATCTACAGCTTTAGTGTGGCTTTATGTAGAAGTTGCAGTTTTGGACTTCCTCATCTCGCATTTGTGATTTTTCAACCTGAATTTGTAGCTTCCAGTCTACCTCGCCTCGCCTCGTGTTCTTACGGTCTCCTAGTTGAATCTCTAACTCGTTTATCCATTAGTGTGAGATGTTTCGTTGCCTACTGTCAGTTTCTTCATCGTCGTAATCGAGAATGCAGTGTCATCTCTACGTCTTCAAGTGGGTGAAAATGAAACCAGTGTGAAAAAGGAGAACCAGGGTATTGTGATATTTAAGGGTGATTTTATCTTTTGTATTAAAGGTAAATTAAAAATGGCCATTATTTTAATTTAAAAAAAAGTGAGTTATTAATTTTATTTAATCATATAATGTTGGCTAAATTTGCTAAAGCCTCAAGAACTTAACACTATCACTTTTTATTTTGGCTTGTTAAAATTATATTGTATTGTATAAAAATAAACACTATGTAAAAAATAAGTAGAACATTAAATTATAATTCTTAAACAAGAAACGGATGACCAACGGTGACAGAAAAACAAAAAAATTAATGGTTATTTTTCTTATACAATATACATCTAATCATAATTTAACCAGCTCAACAATAAAATTGATAATGTCATTTACTCCTTCATTAAAAAATATAAAATATTTTTAATTGAATCCCACCTCGCAATAAAGTAATTATCTACTTTTAAATTAACTTAATTTTTTTATATTTATCCCTATTAAACACCTTATAATAAATAAAAAATTATTTATCAATAGAGATACTTAAAAAAAATGATTACATCTTAAAAAGTTAAAAATATCTTATATTTTTTAATATTTAATTTTTTAAAAATATTTTATATTTTTAGAGGGAGGGGTATATATATCAACAAATTTAACTCTGTTAACAACACTAACGTTGAAAATATAGAAACTATAATTAAAACGCGCTAACACTACAAGCAGCAACAATTATATTATCCCTTGATTTTTTGTCGATTGAGGATTCCCTAGAAAGATAAATTCAAACTAGATTGAAATGATTTGGTAAAAAAAAAAACTAGATTGAAATGAAAGAATGCAGCAACTCTGTTATTATAATTACTACTATTATTCTCCACTTTGTTTCGTAGATGCAATGATCAATGGTCCCATAACAAACAACTTAATCCCACCTCTGTAGAAAAATTCAGATTGTAACAAGAACTCCATCCCCAGAAGAAGAAGAAGAATTGGAAATTTAATACATGAAAATTACACGAAAGAATCTAAACAAAAAATGAAATATAAACCCACTCT